AGATGTTTGTTCAGTGGTATGCTTGAGAGTACAGTTATTTAATCTTAATGATAAAGCCCTGAGGGCAGAAAATCATAAGTAGAAACCTCTTGTTATTTATCAAAAAGAAAAAAAAAAAACAAAAAAACAACAAACCAAAAACCCAGGAAAAGAAAGAGAGAACTGAGAACTGAGACACCTCGTCTATCTTCAGGCTTAAATTTATGCTTGATGGAAAACTATTGAGACAATTTGCAATTTGCAAAATTTTTTGGGAGTCTGGGACTAGCTGAAGTGCGAGGGGGGCAGGAAAGTGGAGTGAAGGAAGAAATAAAACAACAAAATTAGTACGACAAGAAAAAACGGCTGCTTGGCAAGCTTTTTTAGGTCAAACAAAGAGCTAGCTGTAGTTTACAGCATGACATAACATTTGATTAATTTTTGCCCAAGGATGTTTTCACACTTAACAGTGTAAATCAAAACCTTTTATTAATTACAATGTGTATTAAAAGATAAGCATAAGCATAATCATGTAGATGCTACACTAGCCTCCTATTTTTCCTTCCCTCTAAAAGATTGGCTGCTGTTTCCTACAAAACTCCACTGAAATGCTTACACGCTACCAGAGTTATCCAAACGTTTCAACAAAACCAAACAGCATTTGCATGGAGCACGGGGCTCTCTTACATATTGAATTACTGCACAATATCCCCAGGGTAGAGAGACTTTATGGCTGTTAAAGGGAAACCATGTAAGAGACTTACTTTGACCCGGCTTGTGTTTCTGATAATATATAACATTTATGTGAGTGATTTAGACAGAGAAATGGCAGAATGGACTCTGAGCTGTACAAGACTTTGTATCTCCTGTGGTTTAGTCCCCTGGTAAGGGACAGATGTGCAGGGTGCTCTGCAAGTGCCCAGGGGCCACACTCACAGCCAGAATAAAACCCTCTGCAGGTCTGTGTCCAAAGCACGGGCGCAGCCACCCTGTTGGATTGTGAAGAACCATGACCTGCTCTCACCTTACTTGTGAGGGCTGGGATATTACAGACACTGCTGAAGAACAGGACACAGCTTGTGGGGTGCTCTGGGTCCATCCCTGCTGCAGACTCGAAAGGAACCAGGCTCCCTGCAGCACCCTAAGAGGCCAAAAGGGCTACTGCTCTATGGGACCATACAGCTGCCTGCCATGGCACCTTCAAACACTGACATGCCTGTCCACCCAAGCAGCTGAGGAGCATGTCTGCACGCTGTTGCACAGCACAGTTCCCAGCCTGTGTGTGTTTCTGCATAGCTTGTGCACATGGCTTGCTTTGGAGGAAACAAAGATGAACCACAGCCAGACTAGGAGTCAGAAAAAGGCCCCAGTAGGCAATTACGTGTATTTTTGTTTTGTTCAATGTATTTTATTGGGAACTTTATATACATTGCAAAATAGCAGGTTGGTTTTTTTTTTTTTGGTTTGGGTTTTTTTTCTCATATATGAAAAATCCCTCACAACGACGTCACCAGCACTGCAGAAACACAGCCTATCATTCACACAGGAAAATTAAAGCTGCCGATCACATATTTTGTGTAAAAGTGAAAGAAACCTCAAACTCTGCATGTGAAAGCCACATCTGCAGTACTAGGGGAAGGCAGCAGGGAGAAGAGTACTTCGCAGAAAAGCAGCCGTTTCTGAGGGTTTCTTGATAAGAGAGAGAGATGCAGGGTACTGACAAGGGCTGCAAGAGTTTCACAGGAAAGGTTCGGGCTCAATCAGCTCCTACCAACCACACACGCCTCTAGCTTTCTGTGATCCTGCAAGGTAAGTGCATTAAAGGAGCACAGATGAAGAAAATAACAATCAAAACAAGTCCGAAGCTCTGTATGGTCCGAGTTGTGCACAGAGCAAGAGCCCTACGATGGGGAAACATTAATGCTTTTTATATTGGTAATCATCTGTTACACGAGCAATTAAGTACAGTACTAATGGACTATAGCCAAGAGCCTGGTACTAATATTAAAAACTGACAGAGATGAATAGGTTTGGAAGGAAAACTAGGCTGACAAAGACATTTTTATGAAGTGCTTGGGCCTATTTGGAATAACCCAATCAGAGGCAGGTTCAGACCAGCCATGCCTACAGTGACAATAACGCATTCATTGCCATTCTATGACGCCTGCTATGCTTTAAATAAAAACACCCATTGCTTCTACTCAGCAACCTGCACTTTCATTATTATACTCATTAATAAAACAAAAGTTGTCTAACTAATATACAAATAACACTTACTGAAATGCTGGCAGCCTTGCCTTGTTTTAAAATGAAACCAGTTACTGGAAACACAAACCGTACTACATGAAAAATGAATCGGTTGATAATACACACAAAATCTTTCTTTCCCTTTTACCAGGGAAACAAAGCAAACACCACAGTGACAGAAGCACAACAGTAGGAACCACCACAACCCCTGCTCCAAAGAGGGGGGCACGGAGACAGGAGCAAAGCATTCCCCACAGCCTTTAAATTTGGCTTGCTTTCAGCTTTTGCCACCCTGGGTACCACGGGTCTGCAGCAATGCGTTGGCTTTTTAGAGGTTGTAAGCACCTCTGAGTAAAGCAATGTTTCTTCATGGGATTTGCTAGGCAGAGGCAACTCTGCCCTCTCCATTTCTTGGATGTGTGTTTCTTTGTTTCCTTTTTGCCCTTTGAAATTCCACCTTGCAGAGGGGAACCTGGAGAGGGCAGGAAGGTGGGATGCAGCTCCTGAACGGGACATACGTGCCACTCCACTCCCCAGCATCCTAAGGATGTCACCGAAAGGTCCCTGCCACCTAAGCAGCCTTGATATGTTAAAGCTGGTGCAAACAGCTAGTAGCTTCTCTGTCATCTTGGAAGAAACCTAGTTAACACAGCACAGATGCCCTTGAGATCTAGTTGTAGAGATGAATGGCAAGGCTAAGTCAAACAGCAGCAGGTTCAGCGAAGTCAGGGAACTGCCTGCTCTGCCTCCAGTAAGAAAGGAAAGGCCAGTAGGACTCAGAAAGGAAAAATCATGAGGTTTATTCAGCATTTACTTCCCAGCTTAATTCAATTTCCAGTTTAGCTTTACAGCTCACCTTGATGTTAGAAAATATATGTGTCCTGAATCATGAACGTGTGTTCCTGCACTGCAGTTCTAGTTTTAGATTAAATGTCATCGGAGCACTTTGGCTATAAATGAGCATTACATTTACAGGTGCTGTAGTTAGAATTACCAGCTGAAACAAACCATGACAATTTAATTTACTTTTTTCCCCAAGTCTGAGGCTTAATACAGCTTTCCTGTGGTGGAAAACCACTAGAAACCCAGAGATTGGACTAGTCACCGAGGTTTTTTTCTATGGTCTGTTTTTTCAGACCAGATTTGTGTATTTTAGGTAAGCTCAGGGCTAACCTAAAGATCCTAAAAGATTTCTTCTCCAAATGACATCTTTTGACGGCCTGCCAGAGACCTGGAAGATAGGTGCTGCCTCATATGAGACCTAACCCAGAACTACACAACAGACTGGCATCCAAGAACTCAAGACTTGGACACTTTGGCGTGCTAAGACCAATCTAGCCATAAACTAAAAGACTGGTTCAATCAAGGCAAGCAGACCTGCTTTTGGGTAGCCTGGAAAAGCTTTTCAGTCTTGAAGGCATCATGAGTCTGCTCAGGGTTTCTGTTGAGCACAATGGGCTTTGTGGCACTTCATGGCATACCCCTGAGTAACTGCTAAGTCAAATAGATGAGTCTCTATGCATTGAAGAGGAGCACAGTTCAAGGGGTTTGCATGTAAAAAAATAAACCACTAGCATGAACACAGAATAGAGACAGTGGTTCATGGAGTATTTGTGAATGGCTCATTTATTTTTCCACAACTACAAGAGATGAACTCTCTTGTGACCAGCATTGAGCCCAGCAACACTTGCTCCCTGTGCAACCTAAGCTCAGAGAGACCAAACTCAGGCAGGGAAAAGCCCCATCCGATGCATTCAGCAACTCACTCAATTTGCTGTGCTGCTTGGCTTGATCTCCAGAAAGCTTCTAACTTTTATCGTGGCATTACATGTAACTTCTTTGTGCACCCAAGTCCTTACGTAGGAGACATCTCCTGTAAATGAGGGTGATCAATCTCCCCCTCCACTCCCCCCTGGAGCAGCCAGCACCTAAAGCACTAAAAGAAGGTGGGAAAATCCACAGCTCTTGTGCACAGGCAAGCACAATCTCTTCTTGACCCCAGCAAAGTAACTTGTTTATGCCCTGTACAAGAGACTGGACCTTCCTTATCTGAGCCTGAAATTGCTGGTATTAACATTTGCTTGTCTAAGGAAAAAAAAAATAAATAAAAAAAAAAAGATTTGTTTTTTAAAAACCATACCAAATCAAAACAACATTCCCGCTCCAGTATTGCACTCAATGTGTGCTGGCTTCACAAGCCCTGGAAGTTATTATCTACATGGGAAGAATAAGAAATCAACAGTTCTGACCAGCAACAATAGAGTGTTTGGCAGCAGCTTGCAGGCAGGGAGGAGGGAAGGAATGCAATGAAGAAGAGGAATGCAACGCTCTGCATGACCTACAACATTAACAGCACCCTGCATTGTGGGCCACCCCATTATTTTGATCACAACCACAATTTGCTTAATTGGTATTCCTAAAAAACAACAGAAGACAAGTGTTTGCATCAATTAGCTGTCGTTTCTTATTCTTCCTTGAGTATGTTTTGCTCGATTTTTCAGCTTCTTCAGCTGGAAAGCTGTTGTAAAAATTAAGATACGTACCAAAGAAAAATCAGATGCTTGTTTTATTTATTTAGTCACTGGAGACATACACTCTGGTTTAAATTACAACGGATTATCTGACTAAACTGTTGGGGGAATATTTACTGTATCTTTAAGAAGCCTCTTTCTCTCTCTCTCTCTCTCTCTCTCTAATTCTTTATAAAATGCTTTGAAGGCTCTCCAAATTAATTTTTTCATTATTAAACAAGCATTTCAGATTTGTTATCTTACCTTTCATAATGTCTGCGAGTACATGTAGCAGCACTTGTGCTTCCAGGGTTACCACCTAATTCATCATAAATATGTTTCCATTGTCGACGGGCTGTTATCTGTAAAAATGGCAATGGAAAATTTAATCTTGCGTCTTTACAGATTCTACAGTGTTTGAGTTCACAACAACAAATGCATGTGTGACACTTTCAGAACAGCATGTACTACAAGCACTATAAAAGCCCCTACAGAATATATAGTGCACAGAGCTTTGGGTGTTTTTTTTTTTTTTTTGCAAGTTAACACTATGTCTATTTTCTTTCTCTCTAAAATGGAGTGATCTGAGTGATTCATTATCAAGTCACAAGCAATACAGCCTCACAAAAGAGAATCTCAATCAATACAGGGTCATTAAGCATCAGAAGTTATGCAGACAAATCCCACGGTGAATTATGAAAATGAAGCTCAAACCATACTCAGCACAAATAATGATTACATAGTTATTTTAACTGAATTAGAGAAAATAAATCTGCTGCAAAACCCAAACCCACCACAGAATTCTGTAAATCCACAAAAGCATGGTTCGTAACTCTATATGTTACAAGCTGTTTATTTTCATCCATTTATGTCAGTAAAATATATAGATCAAATAGTAATGAAATCTTAACATACTCCAATGTTAATATTTGAGCTATGTATTTTATTGGACCACGCTGATGAAAATAAACATCTTGTAACATATTGAGTTGCATACCATGGTTCTGTGTCTTGTTTTTTTTTTTTTGGTACAGAAATTAGGATTATACAGAATAACAGATGGAAGACCTGGCAAAATAATTGTTTCTGAATACCATTTCATTATTTTATATATTCTGCTGTACTTAAAACAGGAAGAAAAACAGGAATAGGACAAGCACAACAGATCACTCTCTTTTGCCTGCAGCTCATAAAGAAGGCCAGTGGAAAACTGTGGGGGCAATTTGGGGAGAATTTTGTCATTTTCTGTGGAATGCTGTGGACTTTAATATATTCAGCCCCGGAGGCTTCTTCAGAGTTACCCACAGAGCAGTCAATGGCATTTACTGAGGAGCTAAAGGCAGCAATCAGAAGAAAACAAATATTACAACTTGCAATCTCAGGCCTGTAATTTTAATCTAAACAAGAGCAGATAGCTACCATCATTAACTATTACAGGGTAAGAGGTGTTTCTTTATCGCTCAAAATAAAAGGAAAATCCTTCCTATGCAGAAATCATTCTGCAAAGCCAAAAGCATGGCTGGAGATTTATCATTTGAAAATGTTACAATTTCTCCAAGTTTACTGTTTGTACAGTTCTCCTTCAGATCAGCACCTCCAACTCACTATTACTATCTTCACATAGCTTGCACCTATAGATACTTGAAGAAAAAAAAAAGGGGGCACTTAATCTTAAACCTTATTTAAAGCAAAAGGAGTGCATTCACTAAATTTATTTTCTGTCCTCTGTAACCAACCCAAAGACCACAGGCACAAGAGACAGACTGCAGTTCAAGGGTAAATTCTGCACAAACTAATTATATAAATACAAATTAAACACTCATCTGAGGATAAGGTTCATTTTAAGTCTATTTTGTTTAATCTCATCTGCTGTCTCTTCCCCAGGCTACCCACACTTCTGCCTATTATTATTACTAAAGGGCTTGAAGATCTGGAGTCCTAGTGAGCCATGAAGACCATCAACTCCTGAGAATATGAATGGATGCTCCTTCTGCAATTGGAAAGGTCAAAAAAAGAGCTGGACCAAGTACCCTGCTGTGAAGGACTGCCTGGATGGGAAGCTACCTCTGGTCCTGCCTCCCACACCTATTTCAACACTCCTCAGGACAGGACACAGTCATGGCCAGACAGCCCTTGCCTTCTGGTAGGTCCCAAAAATAACAGATCCCCTGAGGACTGCTGCAAGTGGCTTTCTATAAAATCAAGTCTCTGGCAGCCACACAGACTAGGGGAACAAAGATGCACAAAGCCAATCTGGGGGCTGGGCTCTGGCCTTCTGGCAAAAGCAGCCTGGCTGGCTTGCAAGGCTGTGGGCCAGGACCTGATGCTTTGGCTAAGTACAGTGATGCTCTGCAGAAGCTATAAATGAAAGCAAAGGATTAGTCAGCAAGAGGACTACTGCAAGTTCACTTTTTAAACATCCCGATGTGACCAAGAAGCATGGTCTCCATTTTCAAAAGGAAGATATTAACCTTAGAGCCCAAGTCTCATTAACAATGAACTGATTTGAGAGTCTATACTCAAGCTGGAACATCAGTAAACACAACCACCTTAAAGGGACAAAGGGAATCCCTCTGAAATCCTTGGATCTGTTTTGGTGTCTCTTTCCTCTGTGGTGCTTACAGTACCAGTAGTTACACAAATCTTTGCTCAGCTTTATCCAGTTCTGCTCCTGCAACAGACCAGTACTCCTTGGCAATTAGCAGAGCTGTGCCCTCCCACATACAGAGCTCAGTTTAAATTTGACATCCCCTGAAACGATTGTTATTCTAACAAAGCCTGGGGTTGAGTCTTCCCCTGCTCTGGAAGGTTTACTTTTTATGCTTAATGAACTTCAGAGGACTAAAGGAACTGATAAATTACATCCTTAAACAATCTGAACAAAATGCTGCACTGTGAAAACTTCACAGTTGTTGTGCAGGGCACCACTGCTCAAGCTGGATGCTCACGCTGGCCACATCCAAATGGAGGACTGCCCTCTTGTCTCACACCAGTCCCTCCTGGCCACCTCAGTGACTAGGATCTCCCTCTCTGACAGCTTCCCATTCCAGTGCTTGCTGTAGTTTTGCAGTAGTCTTCTGGTTTGCAGACCATGAACACAATTTGTTCCAACCTATAGCTTCACAATCCTAGAGCTGGGCGCACTGGAAGTCAGGGGCTCTGAAAACCTCTGTGACATCTTTCTCCATTAGCCAAATCTGGAGTTAAGCAAGAGACTGGTCTGTCCAGGGACCTGAGAACAGATCCAATCTGGTTCCTCCAAGCACAGTCTTAGGCAGTGACTGGTATCTGAGAGCAACCAAAGAAAAGCCATGATCTTATCTGTTAGAGGGCTGTTTATACACATAGTTTTAATGGTGTCTTCTGCTTTATGACATTTTAAGGTCTTCTGCACTGCAATCTCAGCTCCCAGCTCCCTTCCTCATGAAGAGGCATCTTGCTTATTTCCTGATGCAAATCTGATGGGGGATTTTCTGGTCATGGTATGTCATGTTCACAATGCTCTTCAAAACAGAGTTCTGGGTATTAGCTCTCTATGAAAGAAACCCAGGTAGCTTTGCATGCCACTGACAGATCAGTTTCTTCGGGCCTGCCTAGACACGGGACTGCTGTACATGTCAATCATTAATTTTTCAAAACTAAAGCACTCTATTGTTGCTTCCAGGAGGCAGCAGCTAAATGGGATCCCATTGACCTTCAGCAAAACTTAAGCTGCTACTCACTGAAGATTAAGTTCCACCGAATTTTCTTTTTACCCTTTATCTTTCTAAGACATCTCCAGGTAGAGTCCATTGAGCACCACAGACTTCTGCAAACATGCCAAGGCATTCCTTTTCTGTTGGCTCTAAAGGGAAAATGCCACTTCATGACTTGCCAAGGACAATTATTTAGGTAAGTCCTGGAATTCTCCCACCTATGAACACTGGCACCTTTCACTTAGGGTGACTGAGAAAATTCCAGGCGATGGCTGTTACATGCCACTGCAGTTGAGCCCCTCAGAATGTGACATTGTTTTGTATTTCATCCAGGGATTTGGGGACATTTAAAATCATTTATACTGTGAAGGTCTGCATAGACAGTGCTTCGCAATGCACTCTCCTATTATTAGTAACAAAGATGTTCATTTCATGTATCTTTGTTTACGAGAAACATGATCCCACCAATTCCAAAGAGACAGCTTCATCTGTTAAGGACTTAAACCAATTTGTACGGGCTGCTATTTTTATTAAGCCTGTATTATGTCCAACAAGATACACATGGGAGTGTGGTATTACACAGTTATAGATGACAACTAACTAAGAATTAGTAATCAAATAGATAATAGACAGATGAGAAGTGACCCTCACAAGTACTCTAACTGGAGAGTCCTTAAGTATGACATATGACACAAAATCATGACGTGACACTACTAGAGATCTCCTATGTATATCCTGTATGTACAGGTAATATTCTCTGTCAAGCCTCACTGGATTCGTTCCAGCCTCTGATACATGACAATAAAGGAAAGTCAGACAGATGGCTAAGAAAGTTGTTCTCTGCATCTCAAATTCCATCCCTGGCTGTTTTCATTCACTTTGAGATCCTTAACTGACAGGACTGGACTCAGAGGTCTTGCACTGTTTTGTGAATCTGGGCAGAAGCTGGCAGACACTGTACACCATCTCTGCTTGTTTTGGAAAGATATTTTTAAAGCCATATTGAAGCATCTATACATGGACAAGGTGGACACACCTAGGGATGAAACAGAAAATGGGCTGATTATCATTGTTCTGCCAAACGTAAGATGTGGAGTTTACAATGCTTTAACCAGAAAAGTTTCTACACTAAGCAGTAAAAAAATAGTCATCTGGCCACTCTGTGTCCTCTTCTGTGATTTTAACCAATCTTTTCTTTGCTTCCTGTTCATAAAATGGCTCTCACATGCTGAAGCCAAATATCTACCTTTAAATATTCTTTTATTTACAATACTTCTAAGAGAAAAGACCGATTTTGATCTCAATACACAAACCAGAAAGGTGTGAAATTTTAAAACAAGTTAAAGATGAGGAAGTCCTTATAATGCACAAATCACTCGTTCAAGTCAGATGGAAGGGTTCACATAGATAAATGGTTATTTATCAAAAGTAGGTTTGAGAAAGCCTTTGCTCTACACATGACTTCTCATCATCAGTAGATATTGACACTGGGCATGTGAGTGGTGGATTCCAGTAGTTCCTGAATTACAGCACTCACTCAAAATTTCTACATCTAAGCAGACCTGCCTAAGACTCTCAAACTGATACTGAGGTCCATGTCACCCCATTCACTGCCTGGCTGAAAAAAAGAAAGACAAATCCAACACAAAAGCCTTTCAACGACACTAGCCATGATAAAATAGATACAAACAAGTGTAGCTTGGCAAACTCGGTGAATATGGACTAGTCATAAAATAATAAAACCCAGGGTGTGCACAGGTCAAAGTATTGTAACAGCTATTGGTTTAACATTCAGGGAATGTAAGGCAAAAGCAGATCCATATTGACCATGAGACTGTTAACAGAACAGAAAGAGGTCAGGAAAACCTGTGCTCTATATACAACTGAAATTGCATCACAACAGTCCTGTCAACTTCAGCTCTTCTGCAAAAAGCACTGACACCACTCACATCATAAGAACAGGGCCAGACCCATCACTTCAGCCAGAGACACTCCTGAACCAAAGCTGGGCTTCCAGGTGTGTCACAGAGGGTGTGAGCTATGCTTGCCTTGCCATTTACTGACCAACAAACAACTGTTTGGTTTCTTCTCTACGAAGACTAAGCACCACTGGTACGTTTTCATCAAAGGTGACAAATGCCCCTAAACAAGACAGAACACCTGCCACTGAGAAAAGGACAGGAGTGGAATGATGCTATTCTGGATGACATTCTCACATATGTGATCCTTCCCCGCTGATCCTCCTCTCACGTTTCTGCTGCTGCTGGTACACCTGGCTCTCTGGCCTCGTACTCACAAACTCAACATCCTGTTCCTGCTCTGCTCCAGGCACAGTGGTTCAACTCCTCCAGCACTGCTAAATACACACCTCTCCCTCTCATCCTGGCAGCAGAAGTCAGCATAATCCAGCAAGCCACCACTTTGGCATCCCTGCTTCTATACTTGGTCCCTTCAAGCAGATCTGAAAGGCTGCTGTGAAAATCGCCTGCCTCCCCGAGCACTCTGAGCACACCACCCTCCTTCCAATCTTCCTTCCGGCCCTCCCCTGTGCTCTGGATCAAATTCAAGATTTTAGCCCTCATTTTCATTGCACTTTACAACTCATGGCAGTTACTGTTGGCTCTTAATTGCTGCAATGATCTATCTGTGGTAGATATGCATTCATATATAACCATGAGCACACCTATGCACACCCCTGTACATAAGTATGGCATGTGCTGATTAATGAAAGACAGAGGAAAAATAAAAGCCAGATCAAGTGTATATTTTGGTTAGGAACATTAGATTTCACGTTTCACAAAATCCCAACCACACCCATGCTAATCAGCCTGGGCTGCCAATTTACAGAACAATATGCTTTATTGTACGGGAGGAAAACGGGGGGTTTTGTATTTTACTTCAAATGACTTTCAGTTTCTTGATAGTGCATTTCTTCTTGTCATTTCTCTACAGCACAGATATGTCCCAGATTACTTTGTAAACAAAGCAAACATAATTTCTTTCATCCAACTGCGGCAGGAACTGAACAACTTAATCTGATCATTGTGTGCAAAGAAAATATTTCCAGTGACGACATCTTCCTATGTCAATTGGTTTTTATTACAGATGTCATCTCAATGTGCCATATTAATGCAGCTCTTTCTTCTCATTTCAAGATTTTAATCTAAGTTTGCTGCTCTAATATTTTATTGGTTCAAAATACATGCTGTAAAATCCATGGCCATCAAATTTTCCTGTGAGCTAAAAATAAACGGCTCTTGTCAGATATGGTTAGCTGATAAAAAGTGTCAGAGACTTTTCTGAATTACTTCGATAACTTCCTGTTTATGTGGTACTGACCTTTGTCTAATAAAGATCTTTTACCCTTGAAATAGGAGAAGATACTGCAGCATACTATTCCTTAATGGACAATGCTGATTACTTTTGAAAGCCTTTAATACATTTCCCATATTAGACATGAACAGATGTCAGGGATGTTGCCAAGTGAAATTTCTTTTATGCAATCTTGGCTTGTTGTACAATAATAGCCCTTTCTCAACATGGGAAAAAATTACAGACCCAACTAATTTCCTTGACAGGGAAGAGTTACATATGTTTTCCACTTGTAGTTTTTACGACAAGTTTACAATTTTGCCCAACCTGGAACTAATTGGGATTGTTTCCAAAAATGGTCCAATAAACCCACAATATGTACAGCTAGCCTAAAATGCAGCAAATGATTGTTTGCTTTTACATTTTATTTTTTTTTTCTAACAGGGAAAAGTTAGATTGCACAATTATTTCATTTAAGTTACTTAAACACTTACTGTTTCATATCCTCCCAGTTTTTGAGCAGCTTGAAACATAGTCCAAAGGTTAACTGTTAGAGGGACAATAAGTATTTAGATAAGCATTGCATTAACCAACATATTTCAAAGAAATGTAAATCAAACAGTTTTTAAAAAAGAAAAGTAGAGAAAAAAAGCTCACAGCCCCTGAAAAAGCTCCTGTGAAACATTTTCCAAAGAGGTATTTCCATAATCTAAAGAGTAAATATTTGCCCACGCTATATATATATTTTTAATTACATATAAGAGCACACACTTACATTCCTTAACAGGACTGGAAAAATACACTGAGACAAAGGTAATGGGCTCATTTGACTTTCCTGATAAGAGGCACAGTATAACGGCTGTAGCATGTTTCCATAACTTTGATAATAAAAATTACTCATTGGGAAGAATGTTGCTTTTAATTATTTGCTTAATACTGATTTCATTAGCAAACAAGCATGAGCCACACACAGGCTCACAGAGAAAACCTATCGATTCAAGAACAATATCCAATATTTACTGCATCTCAGATAACAGCCTCCATAATAAATAAACAATAAGCTGCATTCTAACGGGTCCTGTGCCCACGAACCCAGAGGAAGCACAAATGAGAATTACCATAATAATTATGGCATGGGTGGTTGTGCCTTGCTCGTAGCTCTGGCATTGGAGGAACAGAGGCAACTCAATTCAAAAGAGGTGTTTGGAGATGCTTGTTACTTCCTACAGAGCTCCTTCCCTCTCACATGATTCTCATTCTGGCCCATCGTTCCATGGGAACACTGCTTGCTGCTCGTGCCTCACTTTATTTTGTTATTTTATCTTATTTGAAGATACTGCTAGCAGAAAAACTCATGTCTTAGCTCTATGAAAGGTGCATGCTCTATTCCCCCACCAACCAGCAATTCCCCATGGCCATGCTACAAATGCAGACTCAGCAGTAACACTGTGGACCACGGAGGACAGAATCACCTCCTCCACAGGGGGATGCCCTGTTGTAGTGTACACGCTGCTTCTTCCCACTCAACTATTTATATTGGCAATATTTGTATGAGTTTTCCTGGACAAATACAGAGTCCTGTCCAGCAAACGTTTGTGCCCTTCTCACCATGCTTACTCCTGGCATTTGAGTATTTGCTGGATCAGGCCCCTGTTTATAATGAATGTCAGGCAACTTCCAGTGTACTCCAGCTAAATATTAGCAGAGGGCCCTAACCTTGGTGAGAAATTTTAGAAATAATACTTTTGCTTCTCTTTCAAGCCCACCCTGTCTTCATGTTTGAGGGACTGCAGAATAAAACAGGGGGGAAAAAATCCTCTCTTCAACACAAAATGTTCTGAAAGCCTCATTGAACCTTGTACTGTTTCAAAGCTATCAAGAGCTTTGCTTAGGCCTTGATTTAATCTGAATCAATGCATAATGCAACGAAGCTGTTCATAGTACATTAATTTTACTTCCATTTCAAGCAGCTAGTTTTCAGACAAACACTGTAATCATTCGGAGTTATATAAGTTTATAATGGCTGCTGGAGGCCTGTTGCAATCAGTGCCAACTGCTATTAGGTATGTAAATTGTTATGTAAAACATACAGGTTTGACATTCCTCATCAAAATAACACATGGTTTTAATCTGGGAGATAAATTAGAGTAAATAATATTTCAATCCATGGAGTTTTCCCTTTAAGGAAATAAAGTATCATTCAACCTATAGATAAGGAAAAAAAATACTCCCATTTACAGCTTTTGTTGGAAACTCTGAAAGATCTACATTGCGCTGCAATATTTATGTAAAATTTAGTTACATCTGTATCTCCTCCACCTACAATTGCTTTACAGATTGTGGCATTACAAACTGTACATGCCAAAACAATTCTAAACATTGCATTCTGTATTAAACAGATAACAGTCTGGTTTGATATTCTCCACAGTCAGTAATTTATTAACTATAAACACATTGTGGGGCTTAAAAATATGATCCCTTTTGTGCCTTTCTTGACCGTCTTTAAATGTCTTCCTTTAATATTTGTCCTTTCATAAAGAACATCTGGGCACAATAAAGACACGTCATATTATTAACTCAGAAGAAAGGCATTACAGACGCTGCAGATTTACAAAACAGAAAACTAGAGAGTTTTCAGCATGCCTATTTCTAGTCATAATCAGCGGATTTAAACCTATAAATATCCGGCAGCCACTACCCCAGAAGGAAGAGATGCAAATCTAGGCATAAGACAGTGAAATGCCTGGACTGGAAAATGTGTAGATATAAACAGGGTCCCCCCATCCGTAAGGCTTTAAAACAGGCTTTGTGCGCAAATGATTTCTCCAGAGAAGCCAAACCATTCTAAAATGTCAACAAGAAAGTGAGAAAAAGGATACTTACTCTGTTTAAAACCTAAATAGGGTATTCGTTCAATTGGTGTTTTCCTTTCTTTCATATATTTATAAAGAGCCACAAGGAAAGCCTGCTCATCAGCTCTGCATTCTTCACCTACGGCAATCTTTGACTTATCCTCACTTGAGCCTTTTTTACAGTTGCTGTTGTTACTCTTGGGTTTGGGCAAAGCTGACTTAGCCTCACATTTTACCTGGGAAAAGAAAAGATGTCACATCAGATCTGGGTAACCTTTAATTTTCACTGAAGGAATAAATGCCTTCTCCTAGCAGAATGGACTGTTGAAAAAACAAAGGCTAAACCATGCAACTGTGTTTGAGGAGAAACAAAGGAAGCTATTTATAGAGCTAAATGTCTTGTTCTGAATCTTAGTCACAACATTTTAAAATAGCCACATCTTTAAATCATTAGAACCCACTGGTAATGCTCTCCAGATCTGCATTTTTATGACTATACATTGCTATGTCACAGACAGCTCCCATCTCTCACATACACTTGCCATTAGCAAGTCTAAGAATAACCTTCATTCCAGGATTGACACTGAGCATTTTCAACTCCTGTGGACAACCCTGAGAGCTGAGGGTGCTCAGCCCTTTCCAGTAACGTTCAGCAGCCAGCTCTGAAATGACACATTTTTCTCTCCTTTGGCCCACCAAAATAAATGCAAACCTTGGCAAGCTTTACCCAGGCAGAGCTCTCAGCACACACAAGTAGAGGTTCTGCTGTGGTACGGACTGAAGTCAAGTGTGTTTGAGCAGCTGCTTAAACTTAAGCACAGCTCTAAATATTTAGCAGAAGGAAGAGGCTGGTAGCCAGAGCTTCTCCTGGTAGACACTGGCAGCCCCAATCCACAGGAGTCCCAGAGCTCTGGGTCTCCCACTGGCCTCCCTGGCAGGCATGTGCCAGTCAGGAAGTCAACAAAATAGAACCACTTTACTTCTCATCTGTATTCAAACATGGGGGTAAATATCCAGTGAGACTGGCTTAATCCTGCAGTCCTCCTGAAGATAATCCTTGCATTGAATCAAGCAAATTATAAATCATGCATTCCCATAATTTATGCATGCCAAAATAAAAGAGCAGAACCTTGCAAACTGATGTTTAGAAGTTCCCCATGACCAAGATGAGATGAATATATTTCCAATGAAACACTGGAAGTACTCTAATACAACTTCATGGAGATGTTACATGTATTTTGGATTTGCACTGTCCCTTCAATGCTTTTGAGTGCTGTGAGGAGCCTTCTGGCAGCTCCACACCTCCTTGTCCTTTGTGGTCCCAGAGGGAGCAGAGAGACTACAAGAGTCAGTGTTTGGTATTTCAGAGGACAGCAGAGGTGAACAAGGTATCTCACTGAACAGGAAGGCAGGAACTCTTGGTCACATAAGCCAGAATCACCTTCAGATCTCCTCACCTCTACACTAGGTGCTTCCTGGGTACTTGTTGACATTTTGGAATGCTTTATGAAAAGCATTATATAAGTTCTTGTAAACAACTAACAAATATAATTGGAAGGACTACGATATTGGTTATTTTGTCTCAATAAAGCTACCCTGTGTTTCAGGCCCAGGACAAGCTCTTTTTTTTATACTCCTCCAGGGTATTCACTTTGCAGAAATCACTGACTTAAGGTTAGCTGCTTCCATAGTTTTCCACTGATGTTGGACAAAGCGACGCCAGCTCTTAAGCAGAGGGAAGAAGTGGCCAACATTTTCCAAGGTAACTGATGCTGCGGAAAAAAAAATCTTACTTTTACACAAACTTTGGATTACCTCATCCACTTTTCAGTTTAAAGCTGAAATCCCTTGATTTTTTTACTTTGTTTCCTTGCAAAATTACCTAACAGCTTCCCTTTATGAAGTTCAGATTACATTGTCATAGCTTTCCATACTCTACCAAGGGCTGGGTTAGCACTCCCAATTTGAACCCGTGATTTTAATAAATTTAAGTTTTTTAATTTGAGCTGCAAATTTGTTGCAAGTCAAAACTTGGAACAAATTCACCGGATTTGGGAATATTTTCTCAGTTTTGTCACCAACTTTCTAGTTAAAACTCAATCAATCAAGCTTTTTAATAGATTTGCTTTTCCAAACTGGACAATTTGGAATGATGTTTGCAAAGACAGCCTGGGCACGAAAGTTAAATGAAATCAAAGCTCACTGCTACGGAAGCAAACCAACAGCAAAGGATGCTACTCCCAGGAGACAAAAGGAAAGAAAGAAAATAATGTTAAAAAAAACCATCAGGAGTGAGAAAACTCCGTTATACATAACCTCCTTCTCTCCAGTGTGCAGAGAAACAAGGTCAAAGCTCCTGTGAACTCAAAGGTGCCAAAATTGAACAAATGGACTCCAAGCAGCATCAGGTTCAAGGAAGCTTTGATGAAGGCTGCAATGCTGCATCTGCTCAGCGTTCGAGGCATGAGTCTCACTTTTGGAACCCCTCCACTGTCTGACAGGAGATAGGGATGAATGCCATGACCAATGACTAACGACAACCAAAAAGGCCAAATGCCATTCTGGGCTTTATCGGTGTAAATCCAGCATAAATGCATCAAAGTCAGTGAGAGCTAAATCCAGCATAAATGCATCAAAGTCACTGATGCCATATTTGTACCAGGCATCACAAACTCCTTTTCTGTCTCAAAACATGACTTTCAATCTTCCAAGAGGACAAAGATCTGGAGGAAGGTCCTGAGAGTGGAGGTTTACTTGGCTTGATGGTCTTTTCTCCTCTGCTTAGAAAGATTGACTGACTCCAACATACATTGAGAGCTCCATTTCCAGAGGAGTCAAAGCTCTTCCATTGTAGGCTCAGTGTAAATAGCACCTCCAAAATGAAACTGAGGGCTAAGGACCTGACAGACAACCCAGCATCTCAGCATTGATAAGCTGGGGGTGTACAGAGATGGACTCTGGGAGCATCTGACCACCTCCTACTGTGTGTTCCATCAGTGGTACCATTAATGACCCATGACCAAATGGCCAGCAAGCACTAATGGGTACACTCGTGTGTTTTTCTCCTGCCAGAGGTCATACACACCACAGACCACTATAGATCTGCATTTTAAAGTTTCAGTCAGAGAATGGCTGAGGTGCTTAGAACAAATCTCCAGGTCTGAGAGCATGCCAGGCCACCTGTGGCCACAGGAAAAGCATATCCTGGCAACTTCTAAACTCATTTCCTAGATCTTGCCGTACAAATGAAGTGAGAGATTTACTTCAGCATTTGCACTAGGAGATGTAATGAGTAGATTCATTTGGGGACAATTTCCGTATTTAACAAGTTAATCCTTTCAGCTCTTCAAAATGGTCAGATCAGCCAGTTTTCAAAAGTCTTACAGTGGATTTCTGCACACTTTGAATGGGAACGCTCTTTGAAAGGGAAAGCACAAAGCAGGTATGGCGAGGGTCACACTGGAACCTGCAAGTCCCAAAAGCCTGTCCAGCACTGATGACATGCAAAGTATGAAAGTCTCCAGAGTCCTGGAAGTGTCTGGAACGAAGACCTTGATAGATGCCTCTCCCAGAGAGCTGATCCTGCCTCAGTAGATTGTTTCGTGTTCTTGCGATTTTTTCATTTCCAGGAGGAACTGGGAGGGAACTCCCCTGGAGTCTTCCCCAGGAAGTACTAAAATGGATGCCATGATTAGCAGGGAGATCAAAAAGCAAGAAGTGCTTCCCACACTTCCCCCGGCAGCAATCGTAGGTCCAGGACCATATTGTCTGTCCCACTATTGCTGCATTTTTAACAAGCCACCTACGCTGGAATTAAACCCTCTTCTGTGTCAGGTAACAGTAAAAGCCTCAAAACTGATCTGCTGGTGGTTCAAGGTAAACATGCCCAATGAGAACTAAGCTATAAGAAGGTACAAAACCTCCTAGTCACTGGCAGCTGAGAACATGAAATTCAGCAAGTCATTACAGCCCTGTGGTCTGCGTTGGTCTTGACAGGCTCAAAAGCAGTCTTCAGAATGCCACTTCAGCCATTTCCAGACCCAAACTGGGCAGTCACTGTGTCTCCATCAGAGCTGCTGCCCCACCACCTGAGAAACGGGGCTGCTGTCAGACACCGGGTGCCATGACCTGAAGAGGAAAGCAGCACAACTTCTGGTCGAAAGGGATTTTAGCTGGAACAGGAATATGGCCAGGACTGTTGACAAGATGCTTCAGCATCTGGAGAAGTGGATCTGTCCTGTTTACATTAGTGGTGTTCAACTCTGCTCTCCACAGACCCATTGACACTATTAGTTGGAGACGGACCACCAGCAGAGGAGAAAAACCAACACTGAAGCCCAGCATGGTGCCTGTGATGATGAGTTAATATCCCAACTGCTCCCAACAATGAGAAGACAGCTAGGTGGGTCTCCATTCCTCCTCCTTCCCCAAATACACTTCCTCTCCTTCCCCAGAAACCCATAGGCAGGGTCTGTACAACACACATCTGCTGTAGAAGGTTTCTGTCCTCCTCCCAAGTAGATCCACAGCTCTGAGACACAGATTGATGTGAAGAACCATGGTGAAGTCAGCGTAACTACATGCAAGGACATTATATCATGAGCATGTCTATTATTTATAATGAAATTAAGCTGGCCAAGATAATTAATGCTATTAATATCTGCACAATGATGAGCACAGTATGACTAGATAAATAGGTGGAATTACTTCTTATCTGAAATATCCTCCCATTTGACTAGTAGGGTGAACCCAAATATAAACAGAGAGGATAAACAATTTGGTAGGAAGTGTTACTGTTGTTTTTAATTATCTAATACATATCTATCAGGTGCTGAAGAGGCAGAACTACTCCTGCTACAGCCCAGAGTGCTTCGACAGCATGGTCCACGCTGCAGTTTGCTGGTAATATTTTAACATGAAAAATGACTTGGGGGGAAGGGGTAACTGAGGCCAATGGAGACATTTTCACACTGTGGATTTTGCACATTCTTCCACAGAGCAAAAACATTCAGGCAAACTCTATAGTATCTGGCAGGACCCTGGAACTCAACAATCCAGGCTCTATCACCTTTTACCATGCTTGCCTAATACGATAGTACAGACTCCAGCTGAGCACAATAGGGAACAAAAAGAAGAGAAACACTGACTTAAGGGCAGAGCTTCATCATGAACTTCAGTTTCTTTTATCAGAAGGCACAGAAGGCACAATTTTAACCGAACTCCTAAGGAGGAGGAGGAGGAGGTGGAATTTAATTTGCCTTCCTATGAGAAACTGAGAGCAGAACACTTCCACTTGACCTCTTTAACCTCCTAATCTCCCAGAACATTCACTGCGTACAACAATACCAACACAAATGGATCTATAGATTCACTGTATTTCCTAAAGAGATGGTCACAACAGTGGAAGCATTTCTCAGATACATGTCCATCTAAATTTTTGAAACAATGGATTCAGGAAGAGTTGGCCTAAAAATTCAAGTCTATGCAAACGTGTTTAGCTTAAAAGTATCAGAGTGACAAAGTTCTGCCTCAGATAAAATCTACAAGTATTGCTCTAAGTAATTTTCCGTCTTTGCATCTTACAGTTTCGAATTAAATCATCTTGAAAGGGGCCATTTGTGCTTTTTTTTTAAAAGAGAAAACCGAATTCCTATTTAAAACCACACAGACAACAAAGAAAATAGGATGTAAATCACATTACAGAAAATCCATTTCAAAATATTTTAAAGAAAAGATACAAACCCATAAATATCTAAAAGATTAAGCCTATAAACAAAAATCAATGATCCAATTTTTACTTCCAGTATGGGCTAAGTACTGCAGCAGATACAGAAGACTCTGTAAAAGCATGCACTATTCAACAAACCCTGGAACATGCAGCTCAGCACTAAGTACTAAAGGAACAGCCTGGATGGTTGGATCGTGTTTTTTTTTGTTTTTAAGCTTTTGTACTGAATTTCTGCCTTTCTCTCTTTTTTTTTTTTAATAATGTAAAAAAAAGTCAAGATCTTAACATCAGGGTAATGCCATTTGTGTGTGCTTCTTAGAAACCACTACTGAAGCGGCTCTAGTTTCATAGTCTGTTTATCTTCAAACTTATATTTAGAAGTACATTGTAACAGGGTGAGCTGCTCCCAGGTTTATTTTTAATTTGAAGATACTGTCACAAACTATGTTTGTGTGTCACAGAATGTGAAAACTAACACTAGATGCCAAAAGCTTAAGCACTACCAGTTACCAACAAGCTGATAGCATTAGGTTGTTAGGTGATTATAGTTGCTGGTAAGTTAGAACACAGGCATGATTTAAAGTGAAGAATAAAACTACTGAAAAAAAAAATTACATTTATCTCCCCAAGAAAATAAGTTACATTCTAAATTTGAAACAGCATGCTGGGAAACAAAAGCAGGGCTGTACCTAAAAAAGGAGAGTGTACTGAAAAGAGTATTATTAAGCGATTTACCTTGGCAACAGCTTTGCTTTCAGAATTATTGTTGGAATCCTTGATGCTATTTAATGAATCTCTTCTCTGTGGGCAAGGCTTCTTTTTGCGTGGTCTGCCTTTAAGATTTGGCGCTGAAAATTAATGGAGAACAATTTGAGCACATTGTCTTATACTGGATTCTTAACAGCTGAAAGCATAATAAATAATTCCACTACAATCAGTCACAGAAATGTACACATCTGTCTACAGTAAATGCCTATTATGAGATTCCCATCCTCCATGGGTCACATCTTGACTCACTATACTTTTCTATAGAATATCCCCTAAGGCTAATCTGTTTTACTTTCACATAACTAATTAATAGAAAGTCAAACACGGGTCTCCGAAGGACTCTGAGCAAAAGCACAAATATTTCTCCATGGTACAAAAAAGAACAAAACAGAATATTAATAGGTAACTCTGCATTAATCAGCCTGCTGCATTTATTATTTCTAATCTTCAAGTTAAGAGTACTACTATTTCCAATTTTGGAACACATCTGGTTTTGGAAATGTTCTGAAATACCGAAATTCCTTACAGCTCCAAGAAGTGTTTATATATCCTGTCATTCTTGTCAAAGTTCTTCTAAAAAAGTTTTTTGAGAAAAATAAAATTACCCCTGAGTCCTGAAATGGATCAAAAAACCCCTTAACAACTAGCTCTGGAAGTTGACAAGTACTGAAATAAGTGATTGATCGTTTCATAAGGGTTACATACCACACATATAAATTAACATGAATCACTTTCAGTTTTGTCCAATTCTTAAGATAAAACAGCTCTGAAATAATACAGTGACTAAAAGCTAACCATGCTGAGCCAGACACAGAATGGGATATGGATCATCACAAAAAATATCAGACTCATCTTTCAATAGTGGTATTACAATATAAATTATGATCACATACAGAAATACAGAGATGAAGAAGATGTTTGCTCATTATTACGTGTCCTGCCTGCTTTCAGATTTAAAAATCAGCCTCTGACTACTATGGCAACATTTAAAATGATAAATAATCATTAACTAATGATTGTACCAAAGAAGATAATTTCCTTTAAACCTTTAATTTCTAGGTAACCATTGTTTTCATTACTTAAAGGGATGATTAGAACAATGTCAGAAATCTAAACACCACAAACCTCTTGAGTGCCTTCTAATTGTTTCTAATCTTACATTTGTCACACAGTAAGCCAGTGGTTTCAGGACATTTTACATTTTAATTAGTTTGCAAACACAATAAAGGGTGTTAATTTGATTTTATAGTTTGAGTAACAGTGTCATATTTGGTCTGCTCAGAGAAAAAGAAAAGCCGTGGGTTTAAAACCAAAGGTCCAAAAGACACATCCTTTTTCTTCCCCCAGCACTGGCTCATAGTAAAAATAGAAATAAAAACATATATACATATGCACGCATGTGCCTACGTGTGTAAGTCCATATTTGTGTCTATATAAAAATGTTTATCTCCCTACAGAACTATCTCCATCTATCTCCAGTGAAGCACATTCTGCTTACTGAAAAGTACTGCGGAAAGCAATTCTGAAACTGTCATCTGAGGCTAACATGCAAAATCAAACAAAGAGAGAAAGAAATTATTACCCATTCCAGTCGACAAACATCTGCCTGATTTATATCTGTACTCATGAATGCTACAGCATGTGACTGCACACTACGTCGCTGGAAGTCTCGACTTGGTGTGGATGTCAGTCTTACACAAAATGAGCACTGGAGTATTCGCTCCGTGCTTACAACTCCCCTC